GGAGACAGTTTATCAGGACAGGATTTTTAAGTAATAACAACTCTGAATAAAATAGGAGTAACGACTTTCTACTTCTTACCTTTTTAAAGAAATGTAGTGAGTAGAAAGTACAGATAATTGTGTAAAAATGTAATGATTAAAAGTAAAAAGTATGCTGAAGAATAATTACTCAAGTAAAGTACAGATAACCAAAATTTTTACTATTTTTACAGTAAAGTATTTGTACTTCGTTACTTTACAACTCTGTTAATATTAATGTGATGCAGGTTCGACCACCTGGTGGCGATAGAGCGCAGCGGACGGGCTGCAGATGGAAATTATTACAACATGAGGGCAATAAACATCAAACATCTAGTGGATCCCATTGATGATTTGTTTGTCGCTGCAAAGAACATACCAGGAATTACAACAACAGGTGGGGAAATGTCTTATCCTAGACTTGTTTTATGTTTGATTTTAATCCACAGGGTGAAGGTAGGAYTTTAGATTAACAAAGTCTTCCTCTCTTCATCGCGGCAGGAATCGGCGATGGTGGTAACGAGCTGGGGATGGGTAAAGTGAAGGAGAAGGTGAAGACCCTGATGCCCAAAGGAGATCTGATTGCCTGTGATGTTCCAGCTGACTTCGCCATCACCGCCGGTATGAGTTCATCTATCCCACCATAAAAAGAACATTTAAAGGCCAACGAAATGAATCCTGCTGCAGGAGTGTCCAACTGGGGGGGCTACGCTGTGGCCTGCGGGCTCTACCTGCTGCACACCTGCCCCTCACACATGCGTTACCTGAAGAGAGGACTTGGGCTGCAGTTTGTCGGCTCCCAGGAGCAGCAGCGGGACTGGAGGACCAACCTGCCGTCTGTCCAGAAGGTAACAACCTAAAACCTCCCTCTGGTTCCCATCGTCAAATCCTCAGATCTGCTAACATTTCACTAAAATCACAACGACTTAAACACTGTTAAATATTCAGACATGAATATTTTTCATTGCTGGTTGTTTTGTAGTGTGAAGGATCTAAACGATGAGGTTAGACTGTTAAAAAAAAAGGAGCATTTATGATGAAAGAGATAAACTGCAGCTTTTAAAGTGCCTGTGACATAATTTTTTGTAATAAACATAAATGCATTTTTGGAAAGATAACATATTGCAAAACAAATTTCATGCCACTGAGATGAACGGTTGTTGAGATATTTGCATGTGAAGAAACAGGAAGTGATGTCAAAGGGGAACATCAGCATGTAAACAGAGCGTTGATACAACAGTTAACAACACAGACTGTAGAGAAGAATCTGACGTTTCTTTAGATTAGTTTTAGTCGCTATCAAAGAGAGACGAAGAAGAGTTAAAGTTTAAATAATTTCCTTTTAATAAACCGAGACCAGCGAGTTTATTTTATTAATGAGTTCCCCTTTGATGTCACTTCCTGTTTAACTTTGGCTGAGACAAATTTAAAAGAAAATAGGCCAGTTATTTGAGAAAATGGGTAAAATCATGTGTATTATGCCAATTTTCTACCCATCATGAAGCAAAAACCTGTACACACACGCGCGCGCGCACACTCGCATAGCGAAACAACCGTCATTTTATTAATTTTTTTCTTAACCCAGACCAGAGTGTGAAAAACTTGTTTTCTTGTTAACTGTGGAGATGAAAAGAGGATGTGGACAGTTGCTCGATCTCAAGTCCATCTTGTTAATTTAACAGTCAGGGTCTGAGCGCTGCAGATCATTTCATCAGCATGAGGAAGTTCACGCGTATGGCAGGCCGCTTTTGCACTTAATCGACTTCACCACAGCTACATTCCAAGATCTGAAATAGGTTCTTCTGGGTCTCAGSAGGATAAAACTAGACATATTAGATATTTAAGTGAAATAATATAATACGATTCAACTAATGCTAATGAAATTGCAGACTTATTTATGTGTTTGTGTTTATAAGATGTTCAGCRTTTAAACATTTGCACTTAGAATTTTATAGAATCACTTTAAATACTGTTCAATATGTTATAGGTCTTGTACAGTTTTAGTTCAAATAAAGAGCTTTATGTTTACTAGATTGTTAACTAATTATTTTCGAGTTAATGTTGCATTAATGAACAGTGATTAAAAAAATAACCTGTAAAACTCTGATGTTAAATGCGACGTAGTTGAAAATTTGGGTGCACCTAACTTTTGTGCTGGTGCGCCTAAGAAAAAAATGTTAGGCGCACCGGTGCAACCAGTGCAAAAAGTTAGTCTAGAGCCCTGATCAATGTTATCTCTCCAAAAGTGCATTCATATGTATCACAAAAATTTGATGTCACAGGCACTTTAAGACTGTCTTGAGGGGCTAAYTTGGATCAAAAATCAACACYATGTAATGTGACAGTGAGTTTTCCRMTCCATTGCAAAAATGCAGGTTAGTATAGTTGAAGTCCATCCAATGATAACTTCCTGAACGCATCATTAAAACTCATCASACTCCAAACTGAACACATGAGCTGCTCAAACAGTGTCAGAACCTAAAACATAACCTTTAATTTAATTTGATGGAGTTGTCAGAGAATGATTCTCGTTTCGCTCTGTGTTTGTGCGCACCAGGAGGAGTCCTTCCTGTCCACGCTGGTGCGTTTCGGGATACGAAGTGGGAAAACTGGGAACCTGGCCATGGAGGTGGACGGTTTGACCTTTCACCCCACGCACTCCGACATGATCAGCAGACTGCTGGAGGCCACTCTGAGCTCCGCCACACGACCGCCGGCTCCCTAACGACCACTGAGTCCAGAAAACTTTGAAGCCAGCGGTCAGAAAAACTGATGTGTTTTCAGAAAGCAGCGGAGGATGACGGCAGATTGTCGAGTTGGGGTACAAACTGAAGTGAAATCCCCTCTTAGTTCCTCTCTGTCGGCTCAGAGATGAACAATTAGCAGCCTTGAAACCATTTCAATCACTCAAAACATGAAGGCCTTTTATTTTTAAATGTTACACAATTAAGGATTTAATTATTGTTCTATAACAAAGTGAAGTAAATCAATTTATGATTTTATAGATATTTTTATTCATTAAAATCAGAGTAACTAAGTAGATTTACTTTGTTA